TAGTTATAACGCAAGAACTTGATAATTGGTTTGAGTACTAACCTTAATAATTGGATTAATTTAAAGTTTAAAACGAAGGTTAACGAACGGATGAAAACAACTCATCATAGGAAGTAGTCCATGAACAATAATGAAATAAACTTGAACATATGAGAGATGATAATAAATTAAAAACAATAGTTATGCATTTTAAATGGAAATTATAAAAATATAATAATTTACTGACGAAATGATAATGAATTATTCAAATAGAATTCGAACAACTCAGTCATGAATTTTGATCTTAGAGTAAACCCCGATATAACGGAAGCTGAAGTGCACAGTAAATGCGTAATCATTGCCTACAAGAAATAGGGTAACGGTTTCGAGCTTGGTCCGTGTTGCTAATCGATGTATTTTAACGGTAAATCTCAGGTAAATCTCATGTAAATGATAGCGATGTATTTTAACGGAAAATCTCATGTAAATGATAGCGATGTATTTTAACGGTAAATCTCAAGTAAATGATGGCGATGTATTTTAACGGTAAATCTCAAGTAAATGATGGCGATGTATTTTAACGGTAAATATCATGTAAATGATAGCGATGTATTTTAGCGTTTAAATGCGAGTTACTATCTGGAAATAGCAGACTACATGAGCTAAATATATGTGATATAATGCAGAGAGTAATTCATGGGTTCAAAGGGACAGACTCGTCAAAATTAATTGACTATCCAAATTAACAGTGGATGAAAAACTTGGTAATATGTTGTAAGGTGGCTGTTAATTTGAAAAATTTCCCTCTGAATTATCTTGAATTATCATTTAACTCAGGAGCTTTTCCTTTTCTGATAAACTTACGCTTTCGATTATATATTAGTCAACGGTACATAATTGAATATGCCGTCCAACTGACATCAAAAATTTTTAACTGAAAATGAACTTAAATCGATGTAGGCAGCATACTCACACTCGGAGAAAAGGCATATTATATAATTATTTTATTTTATGATTTTTTTTACGGTTTCTTCCTTTGTTTGAGTTCTATTTCTTTACATAAAAGAAATTGATCATGAATGCGGTTTGAGCATTTTTCTGGACGATGAAAAAATATAATAAAAAATATTTGGAATATCATTTGGAAGTGCTCAAGACATTTGAAATTTTGTTTTCTTCTATTTTTATTTTTTTTTTGCTGTCGGAATTTGAAATGTTGGTTAACCTTTAATGTTTATGAATTTGACATTAAAGATGTCCATGGATGAGCATCGGCATTTGAAGGCAAATAAAAATTTTAGTGCTTGACATCAGAAGTACGAAGTTAATCGAAGGTTTGATATTTCGGTTTCGATCTTACATCTCACAACTTCTAAATTCACCAGGAAATATTATATCCTGCACAGACAATATGTAAACGCTCAAGAAAACTAGCTGAAACCAAAGATTTGCGACTTTCAGTTTAATGGAATTTTCAGGTAAATATATAATATAAATTTTAAATTCTGAAAATTTGCGTGCACTTTGCTGCGGCAAAAATAATATGAAAAACAAGTCCGATTCAAAACATCTAGTTGTGAGTGATATAATACATATATCATTAAAGACTTATCATATATGTTAATGAAGCGTAAAACATTGCGCTTATTATTGCGCATATTTTCTAATTAATTATTTTTTTTTAATTTACTAACTCGCGAATAAAGTAGTATTAGTTAACAATAATATAATTTCGTGTTGATTTCAAGTGACCTTCGTAGGAAATGCAATATATCCGGATAAATGGATAAATAAAATTAAGTCAAGAATACAATTAATGAACTTCTTAATTTCGATGTAGGTTTTAATTAATCGAAAATTTGTTCTTGCTTTGGCCGATAATTTAATCCATAAATCAAACAGTGGCGAGGATAATTAAATTTTTTAATGCTTCAATTTAAATGTATAGCAATTTTGAACCAGAAATACATAATTTCCAGCTTCAGTAAATCGTGTTATTGACCACGATTACAATCCTTAAGGAAGCAGTAAAAAATAAGTGTTTTTTAAGATAGTTTATTACATATTGATGAAAGTTCGAGTTCATGTATGTTTGATTGAAGGCAAGTGCTTTAAATATATTGCGGTTGCCAGGCATATTTCCACGACCTTTATCGTATGGAAATGATAGCTGGGAATACGAATTTATTTTAATGGAGAGACCATGACACAATGAAAAGCGGGGAAAGGGAAGTTCGTTTAAATATTGTTGATAATTCGATATTTATTCGAGAAGGTATACAATTTTATTAACAATTGAAAAGGTAATCATGTATTAAAACGGTTTCAATGAAAGTTTCTTGCTGATATTGATTTTGTAAGGTTCTTTCTTTCAGAAAACACTGTTTTCTGATCTAAAGTTAATTTCCAGATTATGAAAACTGTATTTAGGGAAACAGTATTAGGAATAACACGATGATAGCTCAGAGCTGATTAATTACTCTGAAGAAATAGAAATAAAGGCTGTTCGACCACCATGCACTGCTTGCATCAAACGAAGTATTAAGATTTCGGAAAAATGATGTTTTTCTTAATAAAATTTCGTAAGATTGCTCAACAGAAAGCGTTTACAGATTTTGTACAATCTCCTCATATTTCAATGCTAATTTATGCGGTTAAACACGATCCAACTGCAATAATTCCACTTTATTTATCATCTTATTGATCTCATTTCTTATATTCCGACTTATTTAATCATACCTCAGCGCAAAATAACGGACGATGTCTTACATTACCGTGATTATTCATTACATTGCAGCGACTTCATATACTGCCGCCGGACTAGAATGCAAACAAAGGCTTTTTCTTAGTAAACCTAGGCTATATAATATATATATATATTTTTTTAAATTTGAAGGGGAGTCAGGAATTGCTCGCCTGGTGGTCATAAAAATAGTGATTGAATAAAATTAATATCAAAAAGCGCATACAGTGTCCACATTAAATGAAAATATTTTAAACTCTTGAAATGTGCCAGTCTAACCGTGAGTTTACATTCTTGGGTATCGTAAGATCATTTAGAATAATATTATTGAACCAATTTGGTTAAAAAGAATGCCATTTTTATTCAGAAATTCTTTAGTGAATATTTTCTCTAGCTGTCTAATAATAGGTAAAACATTAGGGTTAACAAGTATTAAAATTTCTCCAAACAACTTGTCTAAATGAAGGGCTCTACCCTATATTTAAGAATAATTAAATAATATATGTGCTGTTCATGAGTTTAGTAATACCCCTTTAGGCGATATTTTAAAGGGCAAAGAGTCGTCACGGACTCATGACCAAGCAGCATCGGGACTTTTCAAGGACTAACAAAATGTAAAGGGCGGATGTCTCAATTGGTCCGGGAAGTCCGTTCAAAGCTTCTGCGTCATGAGCTTGAAATCAGCGGAGCGATTCAGTCAAACTTTCCGTAATTTATGTTTTCTTGCGATTTTTCTAGTCTCCGCTTAGTAGTCACAGTGATTAAGTAAAAACCTTAACACCAATCAAGGGTGAAATAAATTGCCTTGCAAATCCGACAAAAAATTGCGAAGTATATGAACAAGAAAATTATCTTAAAGTTTTCTGTCGCAGTTCTCAAGAGTCGTGAAATTTTTTAAGGCAAGATTATTTTTTAAACCCTCCTGATGTGTATTTGACACTATAACGCTGATTCACTAGTTTAAAATTAATATTTCCATCCTTTGTATGCTGATGGAAATTAAGATTTCTATTTTTGATATCCTTTTAATCTGAATAATTATGTCACCTAAGACTTTCAGAATTTTTTTTTCACAACGAGACTGCATCGATAACGCTACTGAAAAAAATGTTTTATCTTATCATAAATTACCATGAATTTCACGTAATAATGGTATTGTGCAGTCATGATGAATAATAATAATACACCATTAATAGAAATCTCATAAAGATGCAGGTATTGTGTATTTTTAGCGCATTTTCTGCTTTACCCTATTGTGCTCGTCATGTCCGTCTGTCTGACCGTCCGTCTGTCCGTGATTTCACGTTTTCGTCGACGAGAAAATACGCTCTCTGTCACTCACTGCAGTGAGTACTGAGTTATATTTTTTACAATTTGATCATTTAACAATAGTTTAAAGACTTTTGCTTTTGCTACAGAGACAGTTGGCTAGGAAATAGAGAAAAAAGGACGTTCCATATTTTTTTACTTACTTTAACTCTAGATTTGAAAAAATTATATTGATATTTTTGGCACTTTTAAAAGTGATACTTGAAGTAGCTGGCAAGAGTGCCGCTAGCATTTTTACATATATATGAAAAAATCGAGTATTTATATTAACGGTTGTAACCTTGTAAGGTCCATGCAACCAAAACTTTTAATTTTTCCTCGAGTCTTCAAGGGTACCTTCAATAATACACGGCTTCAATTCGCGTATATTCATCCTGTATATACAAAGAGACTTCTATAGTCCGGTTTTTGGACGAGATAAGCAGACGCATTTTACGCGACAGTAAAGGAAGCCTCGGCAGTTATGCTGGCAATTGAGGCGCGCCGGAATGCCGGCCAGATCCTTGAAATTTCCGCTCCACAACCCAAGCACGAATACAATCAAATAATATCACTGAAATTATGCAACAATTTGACGCGTTGCATGCATATAGATTAGTATGGTTGGAGGTGGTCGAAGGAAATTCGGCTGTACTCATTACTGATAATTATGGTTACCGCGCCATATCTTTTCTATAAGATTTTAATTTTTTTTTCTGCGTGGCAAGAATTTGGAATAAAACTATTTATAATTAAAAAATATAAGGACAAATTATAGATTAGTCATACATTTTCAAATAAAGGACAGAAGTATCAATATCATATGAGCTTTTACGGACAATTGACTATAAATCGGAAAATGCAAACTACAAGAAAATGCATTAAAAATTTCCTTTGTGATAACAACTGTTCAAATTTAATGCAAGTTATTGCACTGATGTTCTTCAACTAATTTCAATTAATTTTGCAGTTGTACAGCGAGCGCGAGAGAGGACGCGTGGTGATGTTCGTGACAAGCCTCGGCATCGTGCGCTCTACCTACGAGCGCTGCCAGAGCATCCGCAAGATCCTCTGGAACTTGATGGTCCAGTTCGAGGAGCGCGATGTCTTCATGGCCAGGGACACTCAACTGCAGCTGCTAGACAGGCTTAACTCGAAGGTGGTCAGCCTGCCACACATCTTCATCGAAGGACAGTACTTAGGGGTGAGTAATGTCGAGGTGGTGGCCAGTGACTGGTCGCTGACTGACTGGTCGCTGACTAATTCTTAACTGGTCGCTGACTGGTTTTTGACTGGTTGCTGACTGGTCGCGCTGACAGGTCGCTGACTGGTTTTTGACTGGTTGCTGATTGGTCGCGCTGAATGGTCGCTGACTGGTCACTAACCGGTTGTTGAGTTATCGCTGGCTTGTCGCTGACTGGTCTGTCTGGTCGTTGACTGGTCGCCGACTGGTCGCCGACTGGTCGCTGACTGGTCGCTTTCTGGTCGCTGACTGGTCGCTGACTGGTCAATGACTGGTCGTTGACTGGTCGCTGTCAGGTCGTTGACTGGTCGCTGTCAGGTCGTTGACTGTCGCTGTCAGGTCGTTGACTGGTCGCTGTCTGGTCGCTGACTGGTCGCTGTCTGGTCGCTGACTGGTCAATGACTGATCGCTGACTGGTCGTTGACTGGCCGCTGACTGGCCGCTGACTGGCTGCCGACGGACCGTTGACTGCCCATCGACATGGTCGTTTTCCGTAGACTAAAATTGTTAGGGTTTTACTCATCTAAAATGGATAATTAATTATCATCGGAATAGGCAGCTTGTGGTGAGGCACTATTTGTCTACTAGCAGCCTGCCTATGATAGACTCCATGATAGACTTTTAAGATTGACAATTTTCGATCAGATCACTAATCTGTCTATAATTTTCATTTAAGGATAGTGTTTTCATTAAAACTCTTTCCAAAACTGTATAAAAGTTTTATACTGATGACGAAAAAAGGGCGCAGCCTTTTATTGCGGGTACAAATCTACTCCTAACAAAGTTAATCAGGTTGTACTCATGCAATAAACTCTAAAGGTTAACTAAACATTTTTTATCTTTCTTATTTTCATATTTTCATTGTAATAAAAAATGAAGCAGTTTCATTCTCGAAGACCACACCATATATATTAAATTTAATGTTAAATATTAAATATTAGTTAAATTTTTTTTCTGAAATGAATTTCTTTTTCAGGGCGCGGACTTGATCGAACATCTCAACGAAACTGGAGAGCTCCGTCGCCTGATGCAACCTTATCGGGTGAGGTGCTTGGGAAGTCGAACGTTGTTGCATTGCAATCAACATGTAAAATAAGAAAGATTTCCTATCTAATTACGTTTAATGAATACAACGTCCAAGTATCCCATAGCACGCATTGAATGAGAACTCAGATTTGGTTGCTGCTCATCAACATAGGCAATGAAAAACGTACCATATAGAAAACCTGCAATTGAATCCCAATGATCCCAATTGATCAACTATGTACTGGGATTATTAATTGTTTTCTATACTGCTAACACTGCTTGAAATGTCAAAACCCAATTTAATATGAATTAGGCACAGGCCATGTGAATCTGATTTCAGCTTTTCGATAATTTCTGTAGATTGCATTTGTAATTGTGTGAAAATTTAATGGGAAAAAATCCAATATCCAATAAAAATCCAATATATATTATTATCTGGAATTATATGTTTGCAAATTAACAAAACAAAGTAAAGAATTACTCATCCTGATACTACGATTAGTGAGAGGGTTTCAAAAATTGCATTTTCATTTTTAGAACGTAGCGAATAAATCAGTCCCAAATAATCAGCAGAACCAAGAACAATGTTAGACAAATTCATTTACTACACAATTAGTCGTCAAGCAAAACATTATTTGATGCTTGCCAGGAATAAACTTTTATGATTGTTGAAGAAAATTATTAATCAGAATTTATCTAGAACAATTTTAAAAACATTCATTATTATTAGGAATATTTATTATTTCACACCCGCAGATGCAGTCACAGAGCAAGACGCGGTGTGAAGCGTGCGGTGGACACCGCATGCTACCGTGCCCAGTATGCAGTGGCTCCAAGAAGTCGCTTCACCGCAATCACTTCACACTCGAGTTCGTGGCGCTCAAGTGCAGCTGCTGTGATGAGTCCGGTCTGGTGCCCTGCTCTGAGTGTGCGCAAAATGGCTAAAGGAAGCTCATTTTTTTTCGTTTCTTGAATTTTTATTGTAGAGTTGGTTTAAAGGAATGGGTATCCGGCTCACAATAACAGATTTAAAAGGATTGACGAGCAAATTGAATTTTAATTTAAATTCAAACGAACAAAGTTAGCCAAATCGTTAAAATTTAGTTGAACAGCAGCATTTATAGATTATATATTATAATTGTATTTGAAGTTCAGATTACACTTATTTACATATGGAAGCTTTGATTGAAATTAGAATGATTGATTTAATAATGATCGCTCTAAGTTAAATGACTTTCCATAGAGTAAGCAACCAAATAGAAATGAGATAAATGAACATTCCTAGAAAAAAAATCAAGGAATGCTCTGCATTTTCTGAACCATATAATAAGGATTAGGATGGAAAAATTGTATCGCAAGTTCTGTGCAGATTGTGAAATAAAATGTTAATATATAAAACTCTAAGCGGCTAGACCAATGCATCGAACCATTGACCATATATATTGTAAAAATACTAATTCGTTGAGCGCTATACTTGATGTTGTTGAAACTATACTTCGATTCGTGGATCTATACATTATCTTATATTCGTAAGACACAGGTAGGACTTGGAAACGTAGGAGCAAAATTTATCGCTTAGAAAAGAAGTCAGTAAGTTATGAGTGTTGTGTCTGCTAACTATCATGCAGTTACGCCGTATTGATAAGAATATAGGGGGTTAAAAGATGATATGTATTGGGATAGTAATTAAGTTATACGGTGTGTGAATATGAAACTTCATTCACACGACTGAGAACAACACATGCAGGGATCGACACTTTGTTAGGATACTTTAATTTATAATTCTTGATGCTTGCAACTGTGCATATGTAGGACGTTATATAAAAAATATCAAATTCGATATAATGATAATAATTATAATTATAAGAAATATTAAGAAATTTCTCAAATTCGTTTTTGCTCGAAATTTAAAATTTGAATGAATAATAAACTAAATTTGAATAATGGAGAATAGCTTATTTTTTTATCGTGGCGGGGGATCAATATGATGAGGATAAAGTGAATTCAGCAAATACGAGTATATAGATTTTTCATTTGATTGCTGGATCCATAAAACTTTTCTTAAAATTTTCCTCATTAATGGTTGATGACAGTTGGCTGGTATGTAAAAGTTAGACTCTTTTATTGACTGTCTTTTCACAGAAGTGACTGCACCTAAAATCTAACTCAGATCGATCTATATACACTTTACATATTAATAAGTGTGCACAACTGCACTCATCTATGTGCCTGTGATAAAATTATCAACTTTTGTATATATTTTTCACGTAGTGTTTTTTGTAGTCGCAAATTAAAGTACTATATGAAGGATCTAGTTCTGCAATTTTATTGCGCATGTAAGTTTCGCTGTCAATGGTAATATTAAAAATATTAGTGACCAATTTTTTAAACTCTTTGATAGTTCTACATGGCACAATGCTAGACGTTATTTGCCTGTTGCGATCGTGGGTTCTTACTGTCACAAATATCTAGAAGAGTTATCTTGATAGTTTTTAATGTTTCTTTGAATTGATTATTGATTGAATGAGCTCATAAGTCAAGTTGAGATCAGATTCGCGTGGTCATTCTAGAGCATACATGCGGTGTCGCAAAAAAAATCGAACAACCAAGTAATTAATTTATTTTTAACGCTCCGATGATTTAACTTTGAGATTTTTTCCGAATTACATGCATATGTATAGAAAACATTTTACCCTTTTTGCACGCATATGTTGGGAACATAGTTAGAATCTCTTAGGCTGGGCGATGAGCTGGGATTGTAGAAGGCCTTGAAAGATTTTTATTCACATGTTTCGTTTTAAAAGTTTAAATATTTTTATCGTAGTCCTACTAGGCATTTTACCATATTACTTCGAGTAGCATAGCTGGCGTTAAGAGAATGTATTTAATTACTTCTTTTGTGTACGGTATTTTTAGTCACACATTCAGTGTTGTGTTTAGCAGTTGCATTATATTAATTTGCTTTACACCCGTTCAAGGTTTCTCACTTATGTATAAAAAAATGTTAACTCACTTACTTCTATATCCCTTTTCAGTTTCTACTTGCTGATTAGCAACTTTTTTCGAAGTTTCTTATTTGTACATCATTATAGTGTTTCGAAAATACTATCAGTTTGCTTATAGCGCAAGTTCACAAGGAATTTAAAATCAAAGAAAACGCCAAGTAAATTCACTATATCGATATTGAATAGCAATATCGAGATGGTTAATTTGCTTGGCGTTTTCTTTGCTTTTATATTCCTTTTAAAAATACTTTCATGTGCTGTCTGTCATTGACCTGAATGTATTAAGAGGGGTTTAAAGGCTTAATCTTTTTAATCTTCGGATCAAATTTTACAATTCTTCAACTGTTCCGAAAAACCTACACAGACAAGCACTATAAACGGCAGTTAAGTCTTTTTCAGTAGCATATATCGTAGCAATTGTAATTTGATGATGTACAGAATGCAAACAGTTTTCACGTTTAAATTCGTTTTAATTTTCCAGGCCACGATGTAATATTCTTCAGTGGAATTATGGATTGACTTTTGTTATTAATTTGAAATACGATATTTTCATCTAGTTTGCAAAAAAAAGGATCAGGTGTAAAGACTTTTCAAGCTCTTCACTACAATCGCTCATTATGAAAAAAGGCATTTGTGTGTAAACAAAATTACTTTTTAAAGCTGTCTAAGTAAAAATTTTCACCAATACACTGTTAAAACTTCGTCAACAAAATAGAACACAAGTGTCTTATCACGAAAGATTGAAATTTAAAATATATTTCGGCTTGGCTTTGGTCAATCCTGCGCTGGAGGTACATTAGAAATATGAATGTCGTTAATAAGTGAGACTGAAAACAGGGAAAAGTTACCAGGAAATTTTATTTGCATTGGAAAAAAACAAATGGAAATGTACGAGCAATTAGAGGAAAAAAAGAATTATTTATTTTCAGGTATTATTGTTACATAATCTTTTTGATTACTAATATTGAAATGGCTGAAGGCATTCTAGATGAAGCATCGACAATATTCCAAACCGGCATAATATTTGATTACAATACTAAACACTCATGTTCTTGCTATTCTGGGCAATCAATTTTCATGACGTATGAATCAGACAAGAGCAAATGAATAATGTCGCTCTGTGTCCCTGACGATTCACGCTATATGTACTTTCATTATTTGTCTCTTTGATGTTCAAAATTCAAAGTGAGTTCGACGACCTAATTAGTTACGTTGAATTCTTAAATGTCGACTTATTAAACAGTGATTTGAATATCAAGAGAGACGTCAAGAGGCACGTCTATCTTGACGTTTAGGACACCGATGGCCTCTTCAAAGGCCCAGGTGGACGGGTCCAAGGCCTCCCCGTTGACGGTGATGGCGGTGGGGTTGGACGGGTATCCGTAGAACGCGACGTTGTCAAAAGAAAGCCCCACCAACTCGTCTTGTCCGTTCGTGACCACAGAGGTCAGGGTGTTCTTTAGGGAGCGTATAAATACGTAAAAAAAGTCTTTTTAATATGTAAAGACATTTTACAAAATTTCTAAAATTTGAAGGATTATCGAAAAATTTGCTGAAGAAAACGGTTGAGTGCAAATATAAATGCAATTAATTGAAGGAACCAGCTTTGAATGAAAGAGATGGCAAATTTGGTAACAGTGGAAACGCTTCAACTTGGGCAAATAATAAAAGGCTTCAAAAAATTAATATATTTCAATAGATAAAGGTTTTCTTATTGGTAGCTTCGTTAAGATTCTACTCTTTCTATTGTGGATGATCAACAAGAATAAAGATTTTTTGATGCGCAAAATTTTTTCAGTGCATGAATTAGTGAGATAGTGAATTTATTCTAGCAAATGCTCTAATTATTACTCAAACTGTTCATTATATCATAATTTTTCTGAATCATAATAAATTTGCAGGAGTTTAAAAACTGCTAATAATTGCAGAATTACTTCTACTAAAACACCCTTTATCTTAGTACAAATAACAATGAATTGTAATCACTCTGTCCATACCAATAAATTATTATTCTGCCTGAGTCTATAATCGCTTGCGCATTGCGTACTGGTCTTAGATTTCCCTAAAAATGCATAGCATGCTTTTTATTGAAGATTTTTCCTTACAAAACATGGATAATTGTACGCTTCTTTGAGAAGAGAAGTAGCGTTTCATGTTCATGGTTTGAAATACTCACGTTAGCGAAAGTGAATGTGGACGTGTAGGTCATGACGCGATCATATTCCCCGTCGTCCCAGAATAGTGCCCCCTCAGCAGAGAAGGCTGAGTCCAGCGCTATGGTCAAACCGAAGGGATTTTCTCGGCTGCAGTCACACAGAATTGAATTTATTTCATATATAACAGCATGGGAGGTTTGACATTAATTAAAAGTTAATAAAAATAAAAATTTTCGCTGAATGCATTATATTATTTATTTAGATAGGTAAAAATTTGTCATTGGAGAGTTACAGATCTAAATTAGCAACGAGTTAGCTGCGAGTATTTGTACTGAATTTTGCTACAAGTCGAAATCAAAGATGTCACTGTAACGATGAAACTTTATTTGAAGACGAAACAAAGTGGATGCATAGCGGCCGGTATTCAGTACGAAATAATAAACTTAGCAGCTGCTCGCACTGCAGGAAAAATCTTTGACATCAATACAGTAACAGTAATCAGGAATTATTATGAAAATAATTAAATTCATAGGAATGAGTATCTGATCCAAAATTTTGTAGTCTCATTGGTTTCAATTCCTTATAGGTTTTCTTTCTATAGTGGATTAATGAACTGCAACTAAACTCCTCTTTAGAGACCCTGCACTGCGTCATTGAAAAAATCGTGTTTTCATTTAACTCCATGCCGAATTTTAGATAATAATTTAAAACAAAACTTTGAATAATTCGCTGTTATTCTAATAATCGAATTAAGAAATTTAATCTGTTATTGTTTCACTTATTCTGCATGTACCTGAGTTGGGTTGTGGTTGCCGGGGCTTGGTTTGGTAGAATTGTCCCGCCTCTGACAAACACTGGCAGAACTTCTAAGGGCGCCGCGACGTTTACAAGTCCAGCGAGACTGCTTACCCTCGCTCCACTCGCTAGGTCGTACCACAAGCCCTGAAAATGGATAATTTCCTTGTAGTTAGTTTAACAATAGTCGGGATATACTTTCACTACAAATTTATACATTTTGTTACGTTTGATTATCAGATGATTGAGAAATAAATTTCGATTGTTATTTTCTTATTTACTTCATACGTTTTTTTTTTAAATAGCCAAATAAACAATCATCAGTTCATCATAATATTGAACGGTAAATAAAAGTACATTATTTATTATCTACAACATAAAAAACCATTATTCGGGCTCACTAATTAAAAAAAAAACCTAGCTCTCGAACTAACCTCTGGAAAATAAACGTCTCGTTCCGTGAGTCCGGCGGCGATTACAGGAGCGACCATGATGCCGGTGCCCCAGAAGAACTGATCGTCGACGTCCCTGGCGATCACGTCTCGAGGGAAGACGTTGTACAAGGGACGGACCACGCTGCTGCCGCCCATATGGGCCTAGCATCGAGGAAAGATAATGTTGGGATGAAAAAATCTTAATTATAAAGCCTTAAATGCGGCCAATCCAGCCAACCAACCGTTTTGGATAATGGTTCTAAATTCAAGGAAATGCTTTTTCGAAGTTTAAAAAATGAGTCTAATGGAGAGGAAATTCGAGGCTGAAACGAAAGAGTTTTGAAAAGCAGTAGATTCGTGATAAATCCACAACCAACCATTCATGATGATGGTTTTAAATACAACGAAATACATTTAAAACATGAGCTTTACGGCCGGAAAATCAATGCTCTCATGGTGCGATTAGACCACAATTTCGAAGAATCCACTAATAAACACGTTCAGAAATTGGTTTTAAACCTAAAAAAAATTTGGCAACAAAGAAAGAACGTTGAATAATACTGGAGGCTGTGTTTCACAATATATACACAATAAAGGAAAATTTTTATTGCAAATTTACAATAAATATAAGTTGACTCACATCGTGAAGAAGGGTGTACAAGTAAGGCAAGTATTTGTAACGTAGCAGTAACACGTCTTTTGATATCTCAGCCACTTGAGGATGGACTGCTGGATCTTGGTCTGGAGAATTCTTTGCGTTGTGATTCCGGCTGAACGAACATAAATAAAATAAATTTATTCAATAATTTTTTAGCAAGAGACCTTATTGTTTGATGATCAACTTGCATAATTTTTTATTAAATAAGCTATTTCGGTCTTTGGTCGCAAGGAATATGTTAATTTAAAAATTGTTCCGAATACTCATTTACACATTTGATTTTATTTTTCTAGCAAGACGTAGTTTAAATTTAAGAACAACCAAATTTCAAGATTTATTTTTATGAGCATTTCTTACCTGAATGGATAGAAAGCGCCGAGCTGCATCCAGCGTGCGCACAACTCCTGGGTAGGGCGGCCGCTGAAGCCACAGATGTCAGCGCCCACCATCGGCATGCCGAACAAGTTGAACTCAATCAAGCCTGGGCCAGGGTTGAGCTCGAAATTACTCAACCCGCCCACCATCAAAATTAATCCACCCGCCCATCAAAATTGATCCACCCGCCCACCAAATTACTCAACCCGCCCACCATCGGCATACCGAATAAGTTGAACTCGATCTAGCTTGGGCCAGGGTTGAGCTTGAAAATTCCTCAACCTCATGTTCGAAAATGGGTATTGTCCCTTGCTATTCCTTTGGTCTCTAAATTATCCCTTATTAAAAATTCTGGAGTCTATTAATTACTTATAATGTTCTCGTGAGTTCCTGTTCTCAATACCATTACATGAAATGCATGGAACATCATTGATGGGTCAAAAACTCAATAATACAAAGATAGTTCGTATAATGGTTTAATTAATTCAACAATGGTTCCTATAATTGATTATCACAACTTTCTTAATTATTGTTCATGTATAGACCTTGTTAAAATTCGTTTGTCCTCACCGATCACTGATCGAGCCAAGTCGTCCCACAGCGCTTCGTTGTCGCCAAGCCAGTGAATGGCGTACGGAGCGGACCCCGGGAACGTTGATCGTGACAAAACCAACTGCCTCTTGCCAGGAAACAGTAACTCCATGGCTCTAGAACAATGAGAAATTAGTGAATAAAGATCGCTGAACTTATTGGGCATCTGCTCAACTTTGTATGGTAAATGTGAATTATAAGTCTTAATATTATTAGCATAGTGGAATCACGTATAGATCAAGAGATCAAGAAAGATCAAGAGATCAAGAAAGGCAATGCCTTTCAATTATTTTTATTACACACATCGGCCACAAACATGGCCGCTTACAATTTATATAATCAGTAAATTACCAAAGGCATAATGTGAGAAAGAGCGCTAAAAAATTGAAAAAATGGAATTTGGGGCCGAAATAGACGAATTAAGCCCATATTAAAAATTGTGCGATTGAATATAATCGAATGAAGTTTAAAAAGTCTCAATATTGACAGTGGCAACCCGAAGAAGCAATTTTTTGTATCATTCTAGAGCAGGAAATCTATCAATATGAAGAAGGAACAATTTCGCAAATTTACTGACAACTCAGTCACAAAGAAATGGCATGGAAAGTTACGGAATTCTCAATATTTATAAAAAATGTAAAATAGTTTTTTATTCAAACAAAAATCTTATGGCAAAGATGGTTTCAGAAACTTTTTTTAATGCAATCGATTACATTGGCATTTTCTTTGCTATTAATTTCTTAGAAATTAAAACCAATAAATTTCAGTGCAATTAAAATTCTTAGAACTTGATACCCTTTCAGCTCAGAACTCACTTGTGCGTTGCTACTGACTCGGACCAGCCGTACAGAGAATGCGTATCGTACAACAAGTAAGAGTCATTGCCGTTAGTCTGCGCTCCGGACATGCAAAGCGTGCGATCACTGCAAATATAAAACATTGGTTGAAAAAACTGTTTAATCGTCAGTCGATTTTCGGCTGTCACATCATACATCAATATAGATTATCATGTAATTGGGTTCATAGTATTTTGCCGTTTCTTCATTCTAAAAAATCAATCATACAAGGCAGCTTTTCATGTACATGGCTGTTTAAGACGATGAAAGAGCATATTTATTTTTGAAAGACTAATACCGCCTTTCTCGTCGATTGAACCACTGAATTAAGCGATTAAATTTAAGTAAGTGTTCTTAATAACACTTTATCAATGTAAAATTCTCTAATGATGATAGTTGATATTTGATATGGTCAAAGATTTTCATCTTTCACAAGAACGCATAGAATCCTGACTAAAATATATAATTTCAAAGATAATTCAGTTAAATTTTTTTTTGAAATTTGCTAAGATGTACACTCAACTGAGATACGTTTATGCAAATACTGCCTGCAAGTCTAGAGACAATGTGATCGGTTAAAACCTTCTACGATAACATTGTTCCCATTACAAAAAACGACAAATTAACAATCTCGTATTACAGTTAATAGGAACGTAATCTGTGATGAATATCGGCTAGACTAGAATATTTTAAGCCCTTGTATCACGGTACGTTTTTCTCTTAGCACTTCACCATACCTGATGCGTCCGCTTCGTGAAAAGCCAACCCTGGTCATCTTGGTCGGGTAGGGCGGCGAGTCAAGAAAATTGAAGGGACATTTTAGGCTCCACGGCTCCAGGTCGTCTGGGTAGTTTGATGGCTTGTCTAAATTCGTACCGAAATTTGACGGTTCGTTCATGTCTATCCACAGTGAATCAAATGGCACCATCTGTAATCAAAATAATAGTAAATTTTACATTATATACGGATACATGAATATGATTAAATATTCCATATATTTATTCAAATTTTAAATGACCGAGTTATGTAATTAATATACATGAATATTGAATGTAACTTCATACGCGATCAAGAGTCTGCAAAAAATAGTCATTGAAAATGCGTCATTTCAAGATGAATGAACACGATGAACTATTGGATTTTCCCTATACAAATAGAGTACTGCTTAGGTTCCGGCTGACGAGTCGCTACACTCGGCCAAAGTTATTCTGGGTCTGATTGGCAACTCGGTACGACTTTTAGAAGTGCCAATTAATATAGGCAGTTTTAAAAGTGTAAAGTTTACCTCCTCCTGTAGCCAACTCTTCAAAACCCAAAGCCAAAGCGGACAAAGGAAGCTAATTGCGTGCATCCCGAGTTCTAGGCTGCACTTCTTTCGAGTCAGCCCGCATTTAATTTTGTTAGAAAGATAGAGCTTCGCACCTGATGAAACAAGGCGATTTCTTGAGCCCACCAGTCCTGGGTTTCGGGCTTGAGGAAGTCCGGGAAAACAGTCTTATTATCGGGCCACACGTAGCCGACCATGTAGTCGTTGGTGCCCGCGGGCTGGTCGCCCGGCACCAGCGAAGGTGTCATCCACTTGATGAAGGCATCGGCATCGCGGCCGCGCACCACAGGCTCGTAGTTGTCGAAGTCTATCACCACCGCCGGATCCTGCTCAGCGTAAAGACTTTAATGATAAAGGTCAAGTAACAATCTCCTGCTCAGCAAAACCGTATGAATGATAAACGTGCATAACACTCTTCTGTTTAAGATAAGCATTTTAATGATAATAGTTAAATAACACTTTTATGCTAAGGAAAATATTTGAACGACAAATGTCGAATAACACACCCCTGCTTAGCAAACCATATGAACAAAAATGATTTATTAACACTCTCATGCTCAGCATAATTTGAATGATAAAGCTTCAATAACACTCTCCTGCTCAGCAAAAACACGTGATTAATAACATATAACAAGCTCATGTTGAGAATGACAACAGCAGCCTGAGGAGGATGCTTGTATTCGAAACACACGTTTCACTGGTGTGAAATTTTATATCAAATATGAACAAAACAGTAACATACAGTATATTCTAACGCATTGAAATTTTTGAGATACTGTATAGTGTATACCAATGGATAGAAATGCAGCTTAATTTTATGAAGCATCTACCTAAACAAATCACGCCATAGTAAATAAATAATTCGGAATTTCCTCAAACAAAAATCACAGGAAATGCAAACGTTTGCAATATGAATGGTCAGATCTGTCAGTGAAAAAGCATAGAAACAGAATCATAATTATTTACGATTAAAATGAGTACAGAATTGCATCAAAAATATTTGACATTTTTTAGCAAAGAAACCCTGTTGTCAGTTGTAATACTTTCGTATTCTCACAAGAATGAGCGTGACTTTGAGGCCATCGGAGTGCAGCTCCTCTACCAGCTGTGGGAGGTCGCTCCAGTTGCCCGCTCCGATGGTGAAGTCTCGACTGTTTTCCATGTAGTCGATGTCTATAACTTGCACGTCCTGTCCAAATTATAGGAAAATAACACATGGCCAGAGAAAATTATTATCACGTGAATTTCTATTGTCGATTCTTCAATTTTTAGCTTCTGATTAAGACGACCAAAATGGTGTTAAGTTTTCACGTGATTATTAATAGGAATCTTTTTAGATATTTGCTGATGCATTATGAATCATGGGTTGATGTGTGGTCTTTTATTCAAGATTCAAGAAAATGAACTATCAGAGGATAAAATTGGACTTTTCCAGATATTAGTCTGCTTCATTATTATTACTTTATTGTTTTTTTACGAAGCATTTAATTGTCGTTCAAATGAACTACGAGGGCACGGCACACATAAGATTCATAACAAACAAAAAATAAATAGACACAAGAAAGTATGGGAACGGATAAAATGACTAAACATTAGATTCATAGGTTCTACGAAATAGTTCCGTCTTAAGGCGTCGGCGAAACACTGGCAACGACGAAGGAGCCGAATTTATGGAAGCCGGCAGACTGTTCCAGGTTCTGGCGGCGGCGACCGGGAACGCTCTGTCGCCGACGGTAGATAGACGTGTAGATGGTACAACGAGGTCCACTGTTGATGACGAGCGCAAGCGTCTTCTAGAAGGCATATCTTGCATGCGCTGCAGACCTTCCGTGAGATAAGAAGGCGCCAGACCGTGAAGGCATCGGAACGTCAGAACAGCGACCTTGAACTGCTGAATGCGCAACCAGTTAAGATCGCGCAATATCGGCATCATATGGTCGAATTTTCGCTTAATGCACATGAGTCGAGCAGCAGCGTTCATTATGGATTGCAGTTTATATTAAGCGCCGTGGTCGGAAGTCCGTAAAGAGTGACATTACCATAGTCCAATCTGGTCAGAACGAGCGCCACCACAAGGGCCTCAAGGACTGGACTCGAAAGCCAGCGGGTGATGATACGTATTCGTCGCAAGCGCCAAAGCAAGCGGTGTTGACTTTGGCAATGTAACTTTTCATTGAAAGATCAGAGTCCAGCAGAATGCCCAGGTTTTGAACTACGGGCGCAGGCATGACGAACTCGTTGCCCACGCGAACAGGGTTTGCCCGACGCTTATGCTGGCACCGAACAGTCGCAAACCAAATAGAGTTTGTTTTTGATGCATTGAGCTGGAGCCGGTTGGAGCGCATCCTGTCTGAGACAGCGTCCATGCAGACAGACAAACGATCCTGTAACGCTATGGCGCAGCCGGTGTCCCGTAGCCATATATTTGGGTGTCGTCGGCGAACATATGCGGATTCAAACTACATACTGTATGTGAATCGATTATCTGCAATACATCGAAAGTATATAACAGGAAGAGGATCAGGCCGAGAACTGATTCCTGTGGTACGCCGCAAGTGATCAACGATGACGTAGAAGAAAAGTTCCCGCGTCGAACGCATTGGAATCTATTGTTGAGATAGGACTCGAACCACAGCAGCACTGTGCCGCGCAGTCCGAATGATACGTCACGTCGACGCAATAAAGTGCCAAGGTCGACCTTGTCAAACGCGACCGACAGTTCGAGCAAAGCTAGTGCCGAAATGACGCCACGGTCTACTACGCGCAGAATGTCTGAAGGCACCTTCAGCACAGCGGTTTCCGTCGAGTGGAAATGGTATGCAGACTCCGCGCGAGGCATGAGACTGCTGAAGATGGTTGTTCAGCTGTCGCGCCACAACGCGTTCCAGGAGTTTCGACAAAATCGACCGGTTGGAAATGGGTCGATATGATTTGGGCTCGGAAGCGTCATGGTCTGTTTTTTTTTAATAGAGGCTCAATGTACGCTGATTTCTTCATTGGGAAACATCGTCAGTGAAGTTCATCGGAACAACACCGTCAGAGAGACAGCGGTTGAAAAGTTCGACCAGAAAAGGTACTGGGGTTACAACGTTTCCCTTAAGTAACGACGTTGGCAGCGGATCGCTGGCACACTGCTTGTTAGGCAGCGCGCGCAGCCGCGCACTGCAGTGGTGCCTTCGTCAGCTGTGACGCGAGTGAATTCTTGGAACACGCAGTCGAACGAGCACGGGCCAAATGCCGCCGGCGGAGCATCGACCGACGTTGCTCGCACAGCAGAAATTTTGTCTTCAAAAACTGCATGAAATTCCTCCACGCTTACGTCACCCGAGGCTTCTGTATGACCTCTTCCAAGGAGTTTATCCAACGAGCGCCACAGCGCTCGAATGTGACTCTTTTTGAATAAAAAGAAATGACTCTTTTAGAACGAAGAAGGTCGACATAATTGCGCCACGCATCTCGCCAGGTGGAGGCCACAGCAGTGACGCAGCAGGATTGCCGCGTCTGTTTGCCTGTACACAGCCCGCTGGAGCAGTCGAATCCCCCGCTTCGAGACTCGACATTCATCATCAAACCATGGGTCGAAGACTCGTTAGGGTACCCAAAGGCACAGTCAGCTCAAAGCTGAATATAGTGCCCTTGACTGAATCCTGCCCTGGCCGGCCGTATTTGGACCCTCAAGAGGGAGAATCAGTATCAGATGTACGTGCGGAAAGTGAGTCACTGGATAATATGACAAAATTTTGACTCGCCTGAGGGATGCCAGCTTCTTTCATTCGCTGTCGCACTTCTCGAACGTGATCTGTGGATTTGTATCCCCATCTGGACAAATGGAACCCTAGAGACCAATAGGGCGGGAGCTCGGTGGTACCAATCATCTGCAAAGCAAATAATATTTTTTAAACATTTTGTTCAAAATATAATGACTCTGTCTCATGTGTCAATTTAACGTTCAAGCTGCTTGTTGTACCTCCCGTATCGTTCAACAATTAAACGCTTGACTTTTTTAAGACTGCCACTTTGAAGCTTATAACTTATGCAAGAATGAATTGCGCTGTATAAAAGAGCTATGTTCGTACCGCGGCATACTGCATGTTGACGTCCTCGGGCGTGGGGCCGAAGAAGAAGTGCAGGTCGATTATGCCGCCGATGGTGCGCAGCGTCAGGGCCGGTGAGCCGTCGCTGAGCAGGAACGTCGAATATTCTGCGTCATAATCACAATAGGATCAATATTCTTTTCACGTGAATAGATTTGAGCGAATATTACCCCTATTACTATGTTTCAATATGAAGGAAACTACTTATTTTCTCCCATAAGTTTTGCGAATGGGCCTAATTTTATGAGTCGTATGCACGATTTTTTCCGATAAAATGGCCACAAGCTGTACGTACAGGGGTTGAAGAAAATAAGGAAAACATCTAACATTTTTCTATCGTAATTTTTGAGCATGCTATAAACAATGGAAACGTGACATATTTTTATGTTTTATTGTTTATTGGTGCTGTTAATAGATATTTTATCCTTGCACAGATACTTTTAGTAAATTTTTGTGTCTATAGCTTAATCAATAACCTATAAATCGTAAACCTCTCTGAATTTCAAAAAGGCCAGATTGTTGGTGCCCGTATGGCAGGTACTAGTGTGACAGAACTTCCCGAATGCTTGACGGTTCTAGAGGTACTGTCTCAGAAGTAATGACTGCTTTTAAAAGAGAAGGAAAAATGTCCTCAGCAAAGCACAGGTTTGGTCGAAAATCGAAGTTCTCTGAGAGGGAACTGAAACAATTCACAATTGGTATGAATCAATACCTCAGAAAATTGAGGCTGTAATAGCCGCAAAAGGTGGACCTACACAATACTAAAATATGTTTCGTGGATTTCTTAGATGTTTCCCTTATTTTGTCAAACCCCTGTAGAGCTATGAAGGATGGAATTAATGTAATGCTTGAAGATAAAGGCAACCATCATGGCATCATTTTATTGCATAGAGTACATAATTCAAATAAATTACTGTGGTTTCTTTCTTTAACAAACGGCGATATTTCGAATCATTGTAAAACGGTAGTCCATTCAGTCATTTCATATTATCTATATCATTATTTCAGTCCATGGCATGGAATTGAAGTAATTTTAATAAATAGTGCGTTAATGAATGCAGTCCAATTCACCAACCGAAAATTTGGCTTCTATTATATATGAGTAAATTTTAACGTATCTAAATGACTTTTAAGACATTGATTTGCCATCATATTTTCATTGAACGCTACTATTGGCTAAACGTGTGACAACTGTGAAATTGTTAAGACCTAAAACATTTATTTTTATACGTAAGGGAAATTTTAACCTCTAGCTGAGAGATCTGTTACCCATTGCATTGGAGTTGAAGAAGAGTACAGAGTGAGTGTTGCCGGCTACCGTACTGATTGATGAAGCCCTGAAATAGAACTTTCTGCGATGACAAAGAAGCTTTTTCTAGTCGGAACAACGAATGAAAAAAAATTAAATGGAGATAAACTTATTGAGAACAAATAATCGTTTTTCACTTTCATTCTTTGATGGGTGTTTGGTGCAAAATGGCGAATTAAATAATAATTCCATCCACGAACTCCTTAAATACTATTGTATTAATGCCAGCAATTTGTGAACATCGTGCAGGAATATTACTGGCATCGTTGGCTGATCCCTAGCGAAGATTGGCCAGGTGTTGCGGGGCTCGAAGGTGTGGCGCAGGCGGGCGTGTGTGTTCTCACCGAAGCCGTACAGGTAAGTGGACGGCAGCTGCGTGGTGAACTGGATGAACTGGTTCTCGTATACCAGCGCCCCCACCGTCGAGAAGCTGGAAAAGTTATTCAGTTTATGTAATGTTAATGAACTGCGTGGTGAACTGGATGAACTGGTTCTCGTATACCAGCGCCCCCACCGTCGAGAAGCTGGAAAAGTTATTCAGTTTATGTAATGTTAATGAACTGCGTGGTGAACTGGATGAACTGGTTCTCGTATACCAGCGCCCCCACCGTCGAGAAGCTGGTAAAATTATTTAATTTATATAATGTTAATGAACTGCGTGGTGAACTGGATGAACTGGTTCTCGTATACCAGAGCCCCCACCGTCTAGAAGCTGGAATAGCTATTCAACTTCTATAAAGTTAATGAACTGCGTGGTGAACGGGATGAACTTGTTCTCGTATACCAGCGCTCCCACCGTTGAGAAGCTGATGCAATGTGATTAAAGAGCCTCTATCTAATAATTGAAGGCAATAAATCTTTTTCTGTCGTGTAAAAATATAACTGCCAATAAAAGATGATCTCCATGTGCTCTGTTTTTCATCGCTAGAACCAATTGTGTTCTTCCAAAATCTGATCCTAATGTACTGATTCCAATGCCCAATAAACCGCTCTCCCACTCACACTTTAGTCCCGGTGGCGGCACGACTGATGCTCATCTCGAAAGGCTGACCAGCGGCGGCGACCTCCACCGTGTACAGCGGCAGCGTCCCGGCCTCGGCTGGCAGCGTCAGCGGCACCGGCACCTCGTAGCGCGCTGATGACGCGTCTCTGATCTGATTAGGAGTAATAATTATCGTTTTATAATACAAGTGCAAAATTTATTTATAATAAATAATTAATTATAATAATAACTTATTATAAATGTAATGTAAATTCGAATAAATTATTTCATAATCGCGCAGATGCCGCATCTGTTATCTGATTAGTAGTAATAATTTTTGTTTTATAATAATTAACAAAAGTGCAAAATTTATTTATTATTAGTATTATATTATGATAATAATTTATTATAACAGATAATGTAAATTCTAATGAATTATTTCATAATTTATTGGAAACTCACTATTGGGTATTTTCCGTGATACGATGGATGCGCAATATAACATCAGAGAGCAAATAATAAAATTCCCTTCACAAATTTCACGAGTGTGTGCAATCAAAAATATTGGGCCTTTCTTAAACAATTTTTGAGTAGTTAAGAAGTAAAATTAAAATTTTTTGGTAATTAATAATAGTTATAATAACTTCTATTTTTTTTAATTAATTCAATCGTTGAATTTTTAATTTTGGAAGTGAATGCATTGAAGTGAGCTTCATGATTTTACTGCATTCACAACGTTAAAATTCCAGTATAAATATCCTAAATTCGGATTAAATTTCTTTTGTTAATACAATAATGATGTGAATTGAAATACGTTATGGGTTCTGGTTAGAATTGAACACTATTTATTAGCATTTTCGTATACACAGTCCATGTTCGAATTACCTTAACTTGCACGTGGTGATTTTCATGATAAATGACTTCGAGCTCAAGGGAATCCAAGTCATTTCCGAAGAGCGTCCTGAACGGATCTATCACCTCAAGGTTCACCTGGCAGAAAAAAAAATAAAATTGAGAACTGCATACTTCATCTCTGATGTGTAATCTTTTACTCGACGAAAAGTCACATACTATTATTAATATTACTCTATAACTATATCAGTGGTTCCCAAACTTTTTCAGGCTGGCGCCCCCTTTGGCTCCCTAGTGAATTTCTAGCGCCCCCCCGCAGACATACGCCTCTTTCTTAAAATTTAGCACGCTGCAATTTTAAAAGATAAAGGTTAAACACAAATGTGAATTTCACAAATAGAACCCCATTTAGTGAACCCATATGTTTTTCAGCTGTTTTAACTGTTCCTGCTCTAGAAACCTAGGACGTCGCGGACGCATTTACGGCCGGACTCGTGGCCGGTCTCACGGCCAATCTCCAAATTCAAATATCAAGTAATATCTCCCAAACTAATGAACGCAGCTCTATGAAACTTGGAACACGTTTTCATCAGGACCTAACGGTGTTGTTTAGCTAGTATTTTTTTTTAACTTCGCCTTCATTCATGAGTTACGCGTATATTGCGAAACAGGTCGAAATTCGCAGTGATAAAAAAAAATTTTCGAAACTATTGCACAGATTTGAACGAAATTTTGAATATACATTCCTAACTACCAAACGGTGATTTTTTAACTAATAAAATTTTTTCGATTTTTGTGCTGCACGTGATGTGTACAAATCGTCAAACAAACATTCGAACTTCTGACATTGACTTCGGACTACCGCCCCCTTTATCGCCCTCCTACCGCCATCTTGTCCCTTATCGCCCCCGAAATTCTTTCCACCGCCCCTAGGGGGGCGATATCGCCCAATTTGGGAACCACTGCTCTATATATTACCATGTTACCACGTTTTTTTAGCTTCCTATCGTGTCTGTCTGTCTGTCTGTCTGTCATCAAAATTTCAAACCTTAATTTATGGCACTTCTGAAAATCCTAGAAACTTGAAATTTGACATGCATGCTTATGCTGCCTAACAATTCAATATTTGATCATCAGAAATAATAATTTAAACAAAATGTTTAGAAAGAAAAAATTTAAAAATAAATAAATAAACTAAAAAATTCATCGTTCGGAATCGAGTTTTTTTCTCGAACATCCAGACTTGCCAACCCTTTAAATTGATTCGAATTGCCAAAATTGCTAAACTAAAAAGTAGAAAATAAATAAATATAAAACCATTTATAAAAACCACTTTTTTCTGTTTTAAAAAAATTAAAAATAATGAAATAAAACAAATAAAAACTTTTAAAAACCACGTTTTCTTAACGGACAAAAAAGAAAAACATTTACTCTTACATAACATTACATAACAGTTTACATAGGTGACTTAAATGTTACATGTAAGAGTAAATGTTTTTCTTTTTGTCCGTTAAGAAAACGTGTTTTTTAAAAGTTTTTTATTTGTTTTATTTTTCTTAGTTTAGTTCTTGTCATCAAAAATTCAAACCTTAATTTAGAGCATTTCTGAAGATCCTAGAAACTTGAAATTTGGCATGCATGCTTATGCTGCCTAACAATTCAAGATTTGATCATTAAAAATAATAATCTGAACAAAAAATTCAGAGACTTTTTTTTAATTAAAAAAACTAAAAATTCACGGTTTGTTGGGAATTGAGTTTTTTGTCGCTAAATTTTACAATTGCTAAAATTGCTAAACTAAAAAGAAGAAAATAAATAAATAAATATAAAAAAACATTTTTAAAAACCTCGTTTTTCTGGTGGTTACAAAACTAAAAATTAGGAAATAAAACAAATAAAAAAAATCTTTAAAACCACGTTATCTTAACGGACAAAAAAAAGAAAAACATTTACTCTTACATAACATTACATAACATTCTACATAACTTGAATGTTATGTAAGAGTTAATGTTTTTCTTTTTTGTACGATAAGAAAACGTGGTTTTTAAAAGTTTTTTTTTTTTTCATTTGTTTTATTTCTTTGTTTTTAGTTTTGTAACCACCAGAAAAACGTGGTTTTAAAAACGGTTTTCATATTTATTTATTTTATTTATTTATTTATTAAGATGTAATATACTTGTTATAAAGTGATATCTTGTCATGAACATTTTCAGTTTAGTTTCTTACGATTAGAAAATATTCTATGTAAACCCCTTGAGCTTCTGTTATTGCTAAAAAAATTAAATTGGTTACACTTTTTGTTTAGGTTGATTTTGACGCCACAGCAGTTCCTTTTCACTTCACAAAAAAGTTACTGTTCGTGTTGAAGCCTCACTCAGTCTTTAGCCAAAAATTGCAGTTAGTATTCTTTGATTCCAATTATTTATTTAAGTTTTGGTTAATTTTGGTGCTTCAAACGGTGTTGTTTTTTAGATACCTTGAAGCCTCTGCCCGTATCCTGTGGGTCGCCGGCCACCGTGTAGCCGATGTCGCCGTTGTTCTGCATGACGCACTCTGACCCCGTCCACCGACACGCCGTGTAATTTCTGTTATTGAAATGATGAACTCAGAATAATAAATGGGTTATATTGACGAAAAAGTTAAGTCTTTCTTACCTGCAGTACGAGCCAAGGCTGGTGCAAGGCAAGGATTTATCAAGGCTTTTCATTGAACAAATCAAACATTTGACGAATCGCTTACTCCATGTTGGACTTGACCAGAGGTATCTTCTTAACCAAAACTGTAGACAAATTTAACAAAGTTTTGCTTCATTTTTACGATTATTGTTATTTTGTGAAAATGGCGTTTAAAATTTTCTGAATTTTGGGGCCTTCGCGCAATATATTCTCCATTCAAAGTATGAATTTTTGTGACCTGTTTAGCTGAAATTGTTGTCTTTTATTGCAGTTAAATAAAAAGAGTTATAGTTGCTAACCGCTTGAATTTCCGTTAGCATCATCTGTTCATAAAACATTCGAGCATTTTATAGGTGCATTGTGATAAACCGACTCTTTGTAGCGCAGCAACAAGATAACCTCAAACTCTCGCGACTAAATGTCAGAAATTAAGAAGGTCTGTTCCTCAGTAACTCAATTCTTGGAAACTCTTAGTAGTTTCCGACTCAAATTATTTCTAGAGCTCGGATTAAGGTATCATTGCTACGTAACTCTCGTACACTACGAAGAACGTAACTCGGCAAAATTAATTTAAGTTGTCGTATATAGCATACACATGGAACGTTATTTGTCTATACATTGAGTAGAAATGTCTCCTCTGGCATTTTGCTTGCACATCAGAATTTTTTGTGTGTGCAAAAGTATAATTCTTATTCAAACTTATTACTAAATTCAGTCCATTAGCATCAGCGTTTTTTTTAGACGAAACGACCCTGAAAGATTCAACGTCCTAATTAGCAATAAAATTAAGATAGTTATCAGTGGAAATCCGGTACGATTTCAAGACGAAACGAAACTTACCAAACAAAATAGGAGATTGAAATTTCACGAGTTAAGACGGGGTTAGTTGTATAAGCCACTTTGTTCGACTAGTACTAACCTCCACTAATTGTTGGATGAGTGGCCTTGTTGAGAGGAGATACAATCTACTTCGTTGGTCTTTAGCGAATGGCGTCCACTAAAAGCAAACGTCAGAATTAGTGGCCGACGAGTGGCCAGCAGCTTGTCACTAGGCCAACTAACGGCCTACTGGGAGGCCGATGAATCTATAACACCTGGCAAATCTGATGAATCTCATTTCCCAGTTAATTTTTTGAAATCACTTTCGTCGAAGAGAATTCTTTATGCCCAGGTATTATTATGGTTTTGATTTATAATTTTATTCTCAGGCATTTTTCCCCGTTGTCTCGTTATATTCTTTGGGCCATTTCCCGTCTGACCTCGTTTCCCAGCCAATAACGTTTGGGTCGTCTCGTCGAGTAGAAATAACGAAACGCAAATGCTAATGGACTGAATTTAGTACTAAGTTCGAATAAGAATTATACTTTTGCACACGAGAAAAATACTGATGTCCAAACTAAATGCCTGAGGGAGACTTTTTTCTACGCAATGAAGAAACAAACAACTGTCCATGTTTATGCTACGACAACTTAAATCAATTTTGCAGAGCTACTTTATTCGCAGTTTAATAATGCAATAATGCCTATAGGCAGCCCCCAAAATACTTTGCATGGGAAACTACAGAAAGTTTCCTAGAATTGAGTTAATGCATGAGGACCTGAACTAGTTTATTGCTAACGTAAAGTCGCGCGAGTTTAATATCTTATTGCCGGCTACAAAGAGTCGGTTTATCACAATGCACCTATAAAATGCTCGAGTGTTTTATGAACAGATGATGCAAACAGAAATTCAAGCGGTTAGCAACTATAACTCCTATTATTTAACAGCAATAAAAGACAACAATTTCAGCTAAACAGGTCACAAAAATTCATACTTTGAATGGAGAATATATTGCGCGAAGGCCCCAAAATTCAGAAAATTTTAAACGCCATTTTCACGAAATAACAATAATCGTAAAAATGCAGCAAAACTTTGTTAAATTTGTCTACAGTTTTGGTTAAGAAGATACCTCTGGTCAAGTCCAACATGGAGTAAGCGATTCGTCAAATGTTTGTTATGTTCAATGAAAAGCCTTGATAAATCCTTGCCTTGCACCAGCCTTGGCTAGTGCTGCAGGTAAGAAAGACATAACTTTTTAGTCAATATAACCCATTTATTCTTCTGAGTTCATCATATCAATAACCGAAGCTCAAATTTTCTCCCAGTTTTAATCGGTTCAAACGACAAATGTCGGCAACGTCGTGAGTTGAGAACACTTATTTAAAAGGATAAAAGCATTCGTAACCCAGGATAAGATAGAAATTATTTATGGAAAGTTTATTTCTAGGCTAACATCAAATGAGTTTTAATGAGGTAATCTTGAGTAACTCTTTACGCGTAATTCTGAAAGCGATTTGAAAAACATGTAATGCTCGCAACGCTTGAAGAAAAATAGCAAACAGGAATGAGGTGAAGGTTATTGGCTAGCCAATGCTTTAATGAGCAGTAATTTTCGTAAATCCATCAAAAATAATTTGCAGGGAGATAACTGCAGAAACTGTTATTATGCATCCGACTGGGATCAACTTTTTGAATTATTTCGTTCAAGCTGACAGTGATATTTGTGCGGAATAGGGAACGTTAATAAATATTTCATTTCGGTTACACGTGGCAACTCCACAATAATTATAGACTCAGTAGCTCACTTCACACTTTGGGGTTGAAGAATGCCGTAAACTCGAGTGGTTGTTGCTTCCTGCAAGAGTATTTAAGTCTCGAGGTGGTGCGACGGCATTCAGAAACGAAAAGGCCTCTCTACCTTTGATACTGAAGCGTCAGGCTATTTTCCTCAGGAGCAAAGCACCTTCTGAACAGCAGCTAAGATGACGCTTGCCAAGTCAACCCTCGCTTTCCTTGTCATCGCAGTCGTCATCACGGAAACTGTCTTCGCTCAGCCGGTCCAAGTTGCGGACAGCCCGCTGGTGGTCGCGGATGAAGCAGAAGCTTCCGCGCTGTCAGCCGACGAGTTGTCTGTACACGAATTTTCGTCAGACGAATTACCAGCACTTCGGCAGTTCCTGGATGAAACAGTAGTGGACGACCAAAAAGATTTCGGAGTGCAAGAAAACCGGAGATGGCGCTTGTTGTGCGTACGTAATCCGAGCGGAGGACTGACGTGCTGGGTAAGTTGTTGCGGGAGAGCTTCAACATGAATATTAGTCCGTAAAATTTGTACGCGATAGTGGAAATGAATTTAAACCTGATACAATCAGATTTGCAAATTGCAAGGTTTTCCCGGGAAGCTAAAATTAAGTCCATCATATGTACTACTAAGAAAAACACTGAACCTACTCCCATGTAAATTCGCTAGCCGGACAAAAATGGGAACCTATTGCTAAACTAGCGAAGTGGTCATGTTTGGCGACTTTAGCATGTCATCTTCGGTTCACAACATGTCCCTCGAGGCCTGGAGTGTAAACGACCGACGAAGTCAGCCTCAGTACATCCGCTTGTCTTCACAGTCGAGGCACGACGGTTATTCCGTCAAGCATAGTCATTCATTATAGCAAGAAATTTTAAAAGACTTTTAACCATAGAAAAATTCATATTGTACAAAATATATCCATTATCGTACCAATATACGCCCTACAAACGTCAGATTTAATGCTGTAGATAACAATTGCTTTTGTGCTTTGATTTGTGGCGGAATTATAATAATGTCATCATATAAATTTACATTGCAGGTTGTCCCCGCTTAAATGAACTGAACTCGCGGGGCTGAGAAGAAAACCTGATGACGCTCCAAGCAGTGAAGCGTGTGTACGCAATGGATTGTTCCATCAATAAAATAACAAATAAAAATTGTGAACATAACGTGCAATAATATAAACATTCAAAGCATCCATTTAAAATAAATGAAATAATAAAGAACCTTTTGGTCTGCTCTCTATTTATTTACCTCCCACTCTCGACTTACACCAAGGGCGTCTCTTCTCAGATGAGCTAACGATGTTCGCATAATGCGCTGTCAAGAGAGAGACAGTTCAAACGCAGAAGCGAACGAGGCTTTCAATAGAATAAACCTTACCATTCTAAGTACGTTGAAACCGATTTCCGCTTTGGAGAGAATAGCCTTAAGAACGTGATCAAAATGTAGATATTAACATATACTGTGTCTGATATATTTAAAATGGGAAGGGTGGCCCAGTGGTTACAGTTCAGAGTACCAAGATTGGCGCAGAGAGGCGCGGGTTCGATCCCAGCTCTGTGCGCCAGTTTCTGGTCAGAATCGGCAAGGAGGCCGGGCGGTTACGCACAGCAGAATTGCAGAAGTGAGTTGCGAGTTCCAGACATCAAAATGCTGTGAATGTTCCGCGATGTTAAGAATTGGTGACTGGCCTACGGCCTACTAAACGCTGAAACCGCTATTTATTATTATAAAAAGCCTGATATATCCAACATATATAACGAGCCTTAGTTGTGTAACATATTTAGGCCCAATGCAGCTCAAATAATTTTATAACAATCATATTCCACTGTGTGAACATAAGATTATCAATGAATTTTCGGAAGTATCATGTTTTGGTCTCGTTCAATAACTTTCATATCGCAAAATTTGCCCTATAAAACCGGAATTAAACACGAAGGAAAAATGGAAACCCCCAAGAATATTTACTCGTCGTCTTGTTTTCGCAGTAAGTGTTTTTGACTGAAATTTAAATGAATATCGAGACATTAATTCCTTTTTATTAATTATATCGACCTTAGTCCTATTGAGATGTTATAAAATATGTGCAAAGTCATTAAAATCAACATCAATTGCTCGCCAACTATTAAGATGACACGCTTTCCAGGTGATTACTCAGATATCAGGCAGTGTTATGCAGTGAGTTTGGACATAAGCCTACTCCAAGCATGACTATGTGATGCATGTTTGCTATTAAAGAAATTAATTTCCCTTAGTAATCAATGGTGTGATATTTCAACTATAATCCTTTGAAATTACCTAGGTGTAAGAAGTATTTTCGAGCCTTTTTTATTCATTTTTTAGAGAGTTCTTGACTGTCCAGATGCCCCAAATTAGCTTGTCTGAGCTGCAATGCGAATTCTGGAGCGTCAGGGTAATATAATAGTATTATTAATGTTCAAGGCGTTTATTATAGTAGCTTTAGGTGCCTGATAAATCCTGAAATAAAAGTGAATATGATTAATGTGGTCTAGTAGTTCAGTTTAAAAGAATGGACGTATAACATTCAATAAAAGAAAAACGTGTATGAGATATATTGTCTTGTTCGTGGTTATTAGAGTGTTTGCAATAGAATCCTGTTCGTTTTTTAGCGCATTTTCTCATTTATGGAAAAAATGCGCTATTATGCTCGCCATGTCCGTCCGTCCGTCTGTCTGTCTATCCGTCCGTCTGTCCGTGACCTCAAGTTTTCGTCGACGAGCAAATGCGCTCTCTGTCACTCACTGCAGTGAGTACTGAGTTATATTTTTTTCTTATTTAGTGAAAATTATATCTTACACTGATTACGGTTATTTCGTTAGAAATATCCACTCATTTACAATTACATTACAATTGTAATGTGTATTTCCTTTACTTATAAATTATTTGCGACTAATGTTAAGAATTAGATTACAATAGAAACAGTACTGTGAAATACTTGCATCATGCTTTACTACGCATTGGAAAACACGACAACCAGAATTGAACTCGCCAGGTTTACTCAACGAAAATACAAATATTTTTATCTAGTTTGATATTTTGTGTAATTTTTTCAATGACATTTCCGTTGATGGAATAAATTTTACACCTCTTATATTTAAAATAATTTTTTTGGAGGAAGCACTGGTACGTCACTTAGGACTTATATCATTATTTTGTAATAAAATTAATATCAAATTTCCTGTTTCGGGATTATTTTGGTTAGAGAAATTATCGCGTATATCTTAATTGATTTGACCAAACAGTTTTCCCGTCTTTAGAAACCCGTCATAAGCAGGCAAATCCTATTGTTCATACAAAATGAATGGGCCATATTGAATAAATAGTGACAAACTTTATGCATGTGGCACTGATAAGTCCTTATGCAGGACAAAACTGAGTTTGGTGGTCCACACAAGGGCAAGGAGTGCATCGCTCCTTGAAGAAAGTCTCTTAATTTATCTGAGAGTTTGTATCGTATAGTGTGTTCGTATGTCACGTGCGGGGTTCTTACGTATGCAATGCAAGTAAATAACGTCGCTGGGCTTTACAGTACTTCCCTGTTATTCCATGTGTTTTAGCTATTTTTTACGATTGTTTAATTGTATGTTTGTTATATTTTTATCCACATTGTTCCATTCATCAATGTTCTAAGAATTTTTAGTTTCAAGACTTTTAGATGTAGTAGGAATGATCAGTTGATAACACCAGAGGCTGGACTATTCTTTATGATGTGGATTAACTTTGTTCATACATGTTGTCAAAGAGTTGCTCATGGATTCAAACCTATTTCCTAACCTACCATGGATTCAAACCTATAAATTATAGAATAATTTTTTATTTTCAATTTCTTTTGTGTTGATACTATTAAATTTTCTTTACGAGGAGGGAAGGAGTGTACTATTATCAATGAAAAAAAAATTGCTTATCAGTAGTTTGAATCCATCGGTACAGCAAACTACTAACCTTGAGCTTTATTTTTTTTACACAAATACGGCGGAAATCGCAACATTGTACAACATTTCTAGTATGTCATTTCTTGTACCACATAACGGAAAAAGTTGTATTTTCAGGAATAAATTTATGAAATACAAGTTCCTATTAAATGTCAGTAGCTCGAATGGTAAGTTGTTTATCACCAAGAGATTGAACTAAAGCCTCCTTGCTATGTCATCAATGATCTGAGTTTCATCTTATCTTTACTTTCTGGAATAAATTTGTTGGTTTTTCTGCACCGGTTAAAATTGAAAGAAATTTTCTTACGTGCCTTATATTTTTTCCTTGGCAATGCTAGCGTCATGTGGATTTTGGAATTAGCGATTTTCCAGCATCGATCATCAGAGAACATCATTTTTCTATGAATAGTTATTCACAATGAATCGAGATATTCAGAAAATAACTTCTCGTTTCATGGTTTGGTTCTCATTTCATACGATGAACCAGGCTTGAAGTTGTTGAAGCGTCTTCATTGTGGCCCCAGCATAGCACTGCGTCTCAGCCACAGCATAGCACCGACACCGCAGCATCTCAGCAGTGCTACGATAGTGCAGTAGTGCTATTGCTTTATGGAATAAAGTCTCAATTCATATAATTTAATAATAATTAATGATAATATTTTTAAGTAATAATTTAATAATATTAATTTAATATTATTCTTAATATTAAATTAAATTAAAAATTATTTTCTTATTGTAATTATCTTAAATAATAATTCTAATACACAACTATTTTATTTTTACGGAAATTAATAAGTAGTTATCGTGGGTACGCTTTACTGATAAGAGACACTTGCAATTTTTTTTAGCGCATTTTCTCATTTATGGAAAAAATGCCCTATTGTGCTCATCATGTCTGTCCGTCCGTCCGTCCGTCCGTGATTTCACGTTTTCGTAGATTCTGAGAAAATGCGCTCTCTGTCACTCACTGCAGTGAGTACTGAAATACATTTTTTAATCTAGCCCTCGTGATAAGCGAATTTCAAAAACTTTAACGTTCTTTATTCTTCTGCGATTCATTAATGAGTAGTTCTCCTAATTTACGCTGAATATCGACTTGAAAAAGTCTGTGAACTTTGAAAAGATTACCTGGAAATGGGCACTCAATTCCATGTTGTGCGAATACGAGCGCCGCCAGCATCAGCTGAAAAACTAATATTTTTTCAATTTTGTTCATGATCGTCCAGATTACAATTATCTCCCGCACTCAACACTTCATAGTTTGCTAGCAGCTCTTCTATTGAATAGCATCATTATTCTTCTATATTATGTCCAGTAGTCCAGTGTGAGAGCAAACAGCTGTGCGTTAAGGTTGATATCATATAATCTCAAGTGCAGGAGTCGCTAATGGGACCAAAAAATATACACAGCGCTCTAACTCATATCAAAGCATACTTAATTAGCACTCTATCCCATATTATACTCAGTATACTCATTTCATACTGATTAGGCTTAAAGGCTCTCTCGCATAATCAACTGGTAAACATAATTAGGTCAAATTCATTATCGAGTAGAAGTTTCTAGAAAATTTATGACTGCTGGTCATAAAAATATGACTGCATATTCACTCTAAATCATGTCAATTATCTAGCTGTTATTAAATTACACCGGAAAAAATATCTAATCTGATTTATGGCCCACAATCAAAATGGACTATTTATCGTATTTTCTTATCGTATTTCGTATCGTTTTTTTTTATCGTATACCAGCATTAAATGTTTTCATCGCATCCAGACAAGCATTCATCGATTTCTACACACCAGATAAGATTGCGCATTACTGTTCTTATGTTTCGGTGTGATTTTCAACTGTTTTCTAAACCGATTATTTATACTTCGTCTGAAAATTTAAAGAGAGTTATTCCTTTTATCTAGATAGGCAACTTCTTGACACGGTGTGGAATGACCTCATGCGAGCGAATGTATATAAGAAAATGCAATAGCACGTATAAAGTTCACAGCTACACGCAAGACAATGAAAGTATAATGAGCCTCATTTCCAAGAACTTGTCAGAGCATGCGTAGCATTTATAAGGATATTAATTAAATTTTAATCATATGTAATAAGTTATTATTTGAGTATATTCTTCTATATTTTATTGACATTCGGTCTAATTCGACCGTCTGGTAAACCGAGGCCGAGGAGTGAGCGTCCGGTCTCCTACTCATGCCCAAAATTTCGATTTCTAA